GATGAGATTCCTCTTCAGTTAAACAAAACTTGCTTTTTATATTTTTAAAACTGTTATGTATGTATGTATAAACACACATATGTGCATACACATGCATATATACATACACGTATATATTTTGAAAATCTTTTATGTTTGGAAACCTCGAGAAAATGACAACCCTTTGTATTAACATTTAGTTTCTAGTGAGTCTGTGTAGGTTTTAACATTTTGTGGACATACATACACAAAACATGTTCATACTTTGAGTAATTTTGTTTTCATGTATTTTATTTTATTTTGAGACGAGGTTTTGCTCTGTTGCCGAGGCTGGAGTGCAGTGGTGCAATCTTAGCCCACTGCAACCTCCACCCTCAGGATCAAGTCATCCTCCAACCTCAGCCTCCCAAGTAGCTGGGACCACAGGTGTGTGCCACCATGCCTGGCTAATTCTACTTTTATTTTTATTTTGAGATGAAGACTCTGTTGTCCAGGCTGAATTGCAGCGGTGCAGTCTTGGGTCACTGCAACCTCCATCTCCCGGTTTCAAGCAGTTGTCATGCCTCGGCCTCCTGAGTAGCTGGGATTATATGCATGTGTCACCGCACTTGGCCGAATTTTAGTTTCTGATCTTTCTCTGTAAACGCTGTCATCTCTGACGGCATCACTCATACTCTGTCTCATCTAAATACTGAATATCACTTGATGTGTAAAAGTTTCCAACATTTCTATAATGGGAACACTGCATTGATTTTTTGTTTGTGTATTTCTTGTATTATCCCCAACCATAAGAAATGTATACCAAGAAAGTATGATCACCTCTTCAAAACACAACCGGGAAGACATAATGTGGTGAAAAATCCCTTTCTCGATTTGTCAGAACATTCCCTGCAATTAAATCCGTGCTTCCACCTCTCTCCTCTTCTCATTCTCTGTAAAGATCAGAACGCCTCCCATAACCATGTGGTTAAAATGTGCTTTCATTTCAGGGTCTGTTGACATTCAGGGATGTGGCCATAGAATTCTCTCAGGAGGAGTGGAAATGCCTGGACCCTGCTCAGAAGACTTTACACAGGGACGTGATGTTGGAGAATTACAGGAACCTGGTTTCCCTGGGTGAGTCCAACTTCTCCCAGAAGCAGGGATGTGCCCTTGCGTATCTTTGTATTTTCTCTTGTTGCCTCTTGGGGGCTGCATCCTTGCTTGACTAAAATGGAAGCTGTATTGATTTTGAAATGAAAAGCTTCATGATGCAGCATCTGAAATTTAACTATCCCCTGCCCTTTTTTTTGTTCAGATGGAGTCTCATTCTGTCGCCCAGGCAGAAGTGCAGTGGCATGATCTTGGCTCACCACAACATCCGCCTCCAGGGTTCAAGTGATTCTTTTTCCTCAGCCTCCCAAGTAGCTGTGACTACATGTGCCTGCCACCATGCCTGGCTAATTTTTTTATTTTTAGTAGAGACAGGGTTTCACCATATTGCTCAGGCTGGTTTTGAACTCCTGACTTTGTGATCCTCCTGCCTCAGCTTCCCAAAGTGCTAGGATTACAGGTGTGAGCCACCACACCCTGCCAAACTGTCTTTTTTGTTTAGATGTTCTGTGTTCTTTATGATATCTCAGTGTACATTCCAGAACTAAAGTAGACATAAAACCCTATGGCAGGCCACGCATGGTGACTCACACATGTACACCTCAATCCCAGCACTTTGGGAGCCTGAGGGATGTGGATCACATCAGGTCAGGATCTGAGACCAGCCTGGCCAACATGGCAAATCCCCATGTCTACTAAAAATACAAAAATTAGCTGGGCATGGGCACGCCTGTAATTTCAGCTATTAGAAAACGTGAGCATGGAGAATCACTTGAACCCGAGAGGTGAAGGCTGCAGTGAGCCAGGAATGTGCCACTGCACTCCCGTCTGGGTGACAGAGTGAGATTCTGCCTCTAAAAACAAAAACAAAACCTCATGGCAGACTTTAAAGATACCAAGTTAGTTCTCGCCAGGTGCAGTGTCTCATGCCTGTTATCCCAGCACTTTGACAGGCCAAGGCAGGCAGATCACCTGTGGTCTGGAATTTGAGACTGGCCTGACCAACGTGGAGAAATCCCATCTCTGCTAAAAATACAAAATTAGCTAGGGGTGGTGGCCCATGCCTTTAATCCCAGCTGCTCAGGAGGCTGAGGCAGGAGAATTGCTTGAACCCAGGAGGCGAAGGTTGCAGGGAGTCAAGATAGCATCATTGCACTTGAGACTAATAAGAGCAAAAGTCTGTCTAAAAAAATTTTAAAGACAGGTATCTAGTTTCCTGTTTGCTACTTACATGTTTTTTCGATTCTGTAGTGCTTGGAAGGAAGCTCAATTTCCACATACTGCAATCCTCTTTATGTATTCAGAAGGAGGCAGTCACTGGAGGAATTTGTGAAATATTTTCCTCGATCCATCTGGAATGTCTTCTTTCCTGCTGAAACATAGGGCTGGGACTCTAGAAAAGTTCCAGCACATCATCTTTCTTTCTTTTTATAAGCAGGAGCCTCTTTCTGACCTGTTTATTCATGTTGGAGCCAGGAAAGAGCCCTGGACTGTGGAGAGTGAAGTGAAAATGTCCAGCTGAGTGGGAATGTATTACAGGTGTAAACACAGGTGGAGCTCGGAGAAGCACAGTAGAACCTACACCTTTAAATAGTGTGTGGGGAAACTCTGCAAGGGGGAGAATTCTGTGAGGAAGGAAAAGTTTAAATCCGGGGATCTCTGAATGGACATCTTTCTTTGCTCCCACTTATTTCTCTGCTCTTTATTGATTTAACGAGTTTTTTTTGTAAAAGCACTAGTCGTATTCCTCAGTAGTCAACACCCATGACCAAATTCTCTCAAAGGCCCCATCTGCAGGAACATCCTATTGGAGAATAAGAACTCTCAACATGACTTTCGGTCAACACGAACATTCAGACCAGGGAACCTGCATTATGATTTTTATGTTTTTATTGTGCATTCGGTTTTATGCAATGCTTTCTCTGATCTCAGTTTATGAATTTTCCCAGCACACATTCTATGTTTTATATTTTGTGCACAGTGAACTAGATAACTAAGTGCAATACGTATACATAGAATTGCTGTATTGCCAGGCTGTGACACACCGTAGATGTGACATCATAATTGCAAGCTCTGATGTTGTTAGGCAGTTTTTTTTTTGAGGTTCAGTCTTGCCTTGTCACCCAAGCTGGAGCGCAGTGGTGCAATGTTGGCTCACACCAACCTCTGCCTCCTGGGTTGAAACTGTTCTCCAGTCTCAGCCTCCCGAGTAGCTGGGATTTACAGGTGCCACCTACCATGCCCAGATATTTCTTTTTTGTAATTTTAGTAAAGACAGGGTTTCACCATGTTGGCCAGGCTGGTCTTGAACCCCTGACATTGTGATCCGCCTGCCTCAGCCTTTCAAAGTGCTGGGATTACAGGCATGAGCCACCGAGCATGGCTGTGAGTCAATTCTTATTCCTTATAATGCTGTGTATTTTCTTGACCTCATACATCACAAGGTAGTGATCTTAACATGTATTTCAGTTCTTATATTGTGTGCTGGTGGTAAGTAGAAATTGAGGCTTTTGTCTTATTTTTGAGATGGAGTCTTGCTCTGTTGCCCAGGTTAGAGTGCAGTGGCACAACCTTGCTCACTGCAACCTCCACCTCCTGGGTTCAAGCGATTCTCCTGCCTCACCCTCCCAAGTAGCGGGGATTACAGGTGCCCACCACCACACCTGGCTAAGTTTTGTATTTATAGTAGAGATGGGGTTTCACCATGTTGGCCAGGATGGTCAAGATCTCCTAACCTTGTAATCCAGCCACCTCAGCCTCCCAAAGTGCTGGGATTACAGGCATGAGCTACTGTGTCCAGATCCCGAGTTCTGCAGGCTGTATAAATGTATTATTTGCTTGCTGATTTTATCATAAATTACAATCTTTTACTAATTAATTTTTGAGATTATACATATGGCTTTTCAATATGTAGTAAGCAATATAACTGACACATTCCACTCATTAATGTCACAATGTGCTGCCAGGCACAGTGGCTCACACCTGTAATTCCAGGACTTTGAAAGGCTGAGGCTGGTGCATAATTTGAGGCCAGGAATTTGAGACCAGCCTGGCCAACATAGTAAAACCCCATCTCTACTAAAAATACACAAGTTAGCTGGGCATGGTGGCACATGCCTGTAATCCCAGCTACTCGGGAGGCTGAGGCAAGAGAATCGCTTGAACCAAGGTGGCAGAGGTTGCAGTGAGCTGAGATCGCACCACTGCACTCCAGCCTGGGTGACAGAGCAAGACTCCATCTAAAAAAAATAAAAATACAGAGGCCAGACATGGTGGCTCATGCCTGTAATTCCAGCACTCAGGGAGGCTGAGGCGGGTGGATCACGAGGTCAGGAGATCGAGACCATCCTGGCTAACATAGCAAAACACCATCTGTACTAAAAATACAAAACATTAGCCAGGTGTTGTGTCACATGCCTGTAATTCCAGCTCCTCAGGAGGCTGAGGCAGGAGAATCTTTTGAATCTGGGATGCGGATGTTGCAGTGAGCCAAGATCACACCACTGCATTCAGTCTGGGTGACAGTGCAAGACACCATCTCTATAAAATAAAATACAAAAAATTTTGACAAAAATGTGACAAAGCACCTCTTTTGCATGGATATAGGTAATTTTGTGACAGTTATTCAAGCTCACTGCAACCTCTGCCTCTTGGGGTCAAGCAATTCTCTTGCCTCAGCCTCCCAAGTAGCTGAAAGTACAGGTGTGAGCCACCACACCTGACTAATTTTTGTAATGTTTTCTCATCTTCTCAGTGCTATGATTATTTGACAGTACAAAATTTACATTGATTTTGGTTATGCTTACATGATCTTGTGGATGATTTACCAATGTTGTTTATTGTGTGGTCCATTAGCATTTATTTGTATATAGTAAATATGCTTTAAATATGAAGAAATATATTTTTCTCTTTCTTGAACATGACAGTGATTTTTTTCAAGCTGTTATACACATTATAGTCATAGTGGAAATATACTCTTTAGGTTTACACATAATTTGTGCCCTGTCAGTGTTTTGTCATGATATTGAAAATAGTCTTCCATAGAAATGATTTCTTTTTTTTTTAGACGGAGTTTCACTCATGTTAC